CTCTTTCACAGAGCGGTCGGAGCGTGAAGCTGAACATTCATGTTGACCTAGTACAGAGGTCTAGAATGCCTGCTGATTTACCTTCAGGTTACTGTGCGCCATTATGGTTTCAATCGACACAGACACAACTTAATTTTATCCTTACGAGCACACAAAGGAACATTTAACTTTATAGAGTAGACATCTTGCTTACAAAAGTCCGCCACTGGGCTCCATTATGAGCCATATGAATCCAATCCCAACTTTACATACCATTTCTTGGAGATCCATTTCAGTACAACTTCCCTTAACTATAGTTCTCTCAAGGTATATATCGTCTGTTCAGTCTGACTTTCTGTCTAAAACTGTACGCACGTGTCATCATTCCAACGAACGTCGAGTCAAATATGCTAACCCGTCGAGGTCTGAAGCTATTTGTGGTATTTCGTAACGACCTAATTATTTTTTATTGTTAGAGAACCCCCCCCCCCCCCTCATCAAAGCCTAGCCGTACAAACACCCGTTGTCATCTGTACGCAAATGCTTATGCAACATATTCTAGTTTCTATCAGCAATCTGGAGGCCGTCTACTTCATACACAACGTGAAGACGCGGTGACGAAGAAGGCGTGGACACAAAAGATTTCTGTTTTGAAGTCGCGTATGCAACTACCTTTTGATTAAAACTTCTGAAAATGTATGTTACCGTCCACCAGGATATTTATACTGTATGTTAACGAGGGATTCTAGCCAAAAAGAAAATAAATTCGCATATGACTAAACAAACATACACTGTAAACTACAATTAATAGAGAGTTTCTTACCGGAAGCTAAGAAACATATGCACACACGGACTTACCACAAAATAAGCAAACAGGACTTCGTCTTTCTCGTAAAGAGTGTCCGGCCTGACGCACTTAGGAGATCCCGCTCTGTCACACATCTGGAAGGAAAACGTCAGTACAATTTTACGGTTTTAAACATTTTTTATATGGCAGGGCATGTGTGTAGAGTGAGGGAGACAAGGAATGCAAACATGTGACGTGAATACAACACAAAAATCTGGATGCTCCACAGACTGAAACGGTGAAGGCCGCACGGACGCGGGGCGGAGAGTGAATGTTCTTGACAGGACAAATTAATCTATTATTTGAAGAACCACAAGTTCACAAAAAAAAAATACAAAAAAAATCTGGAAAGAAAGGAAAAAGCGAACACTCTATTTATTTAGTGTGATTTGTTTTCCCCCAAGAATAATTGGTAAGTGTCTAATTACAGCTTAATAACCTCTTTTGTACCTAAGCTAAAGTTATTTTTATAGGACTTGAGGTGAGTAAGAAGATGGTTATCTTCCTGATGATGGAGGCAGCAAGGACCTCTGAAACGTTGGTAAACTTCTGCCAGACTACACGGCGCTACAACCCAGAAGAGAACCATCAAAGTCATCTTCGGACTCCTTTGGCTTTTGTCATTGCTGGGTGAACTGACGTTCGGTGGTTTCTTTATGGTCAGTGCGTAAGCCAAAACCTAGTAGTAATATAACACGCGTCTCATGTCTTGTCAGCGGGAAACAGACGATAGATACAGCTTTCCGTGATTGGACCAACGTTCTTGTAGGATACGATGCATTTACCCCTAGTGGTTGTCATGGTAACAATAGCCCAATTCTATCAAAAAGTTTACTCACGTGGTTTTACAAAAACCTATTCAAATGAGTTGCTACATGCTGCAAGTAGTTACCATAAGACACCAGATATAGCAGTATTTTTTAATACTGACGTAGCTTATCTGGGATTTTTTCTTCCGAAAATCACTTTAGCAAGTTTTACACACCCTTTACAAGTCTCTCGACATAAAAACGTTATAGTCTTCTTATTAACAAGCCCTAGTACTGCCACAGTAAATAAGTAACAGAGCCTATCACGTTTATAACATACGAAGAAAACAATAAACCGCTTTGGTGCTCTCAACCAGCATGAACTTACTACGAAGCAATTGTTCAACCACTTCACAATTTACTATGGAATGCACATACACAGACATGGAAACATATTGTGGCAATATTTTCTTTGAAATTAAGGGTAATAAACTGGGAGAAATCTTTATATATTGGGATATCATAAGGCAGAGAGACACAGTGCCACTTTGGTTAAGTGGATTTAACCCCATCACAAGCAAATTCTTCTTTACTTCTCTAAAGCAGGCGCCAGAATTATACAGAAGGCATCATGGACCTAATTATCACAGAATATTCCTCATTTTCACCCCAAACTGTAAATTCAAAGAAACTCGCTAATTTTAATAAGTGTGAACCTGACATGTTGCAAGGTTAATTATCGTCTGCTTCTAGAGACTACAAAATTAACTTTCAATCACGTAGACCGCATTCACATTATATACGCACTTCCGGATGTAGAATAACTTCAGTGACTTCCGACGCCAAATTTTTGTTATATGTATATATATCACGATAAATAAGCCGAAACATGTCTTACTGTTGTTAGTAGGAACATTTTAGCAAACGTTTAGAATCTGATTTTGGCGACTTGCAATTTGACGATTTATTTTTAAAAAAACGTATATTTTGAGTGTTCAGATTCAAACTTGTCTTGAAGGAAACCGTAATTGTGAGCAATGATATCGCCAGGGCTTGTAGCTTCACAGATTTCGACTTAATAGATGTGGATTACTTTTTTAAAAAGCACATAAATTCCCGTTACTCGAAAGCTGTCTTCTGTCTAGCGCACTAAAAATGTGAAGCGAATACACGCACAATCCGACATTGACGGATTTGTTCGATTTCAAGACAGTTCGTACGTTGATACGTCGACAATCTGATAGTCGCCCTTGAACCTTCAGCCTGTCCTTCATCTGTAGAACCAGACCCTGTTATTCTATACTGTACAGATAAGAAAATGAATGCTACAGATTCGTACAATACAGTGTGGAAGTTCAGCAGACTAGTGGATTTTATTGAGGAAGACATTACAATACTAGTTGCGTACGTGACCCTGACAATGTTTGGCCATAACAACCATTCACTAATTTAAACAACGTTTTATTATTAGCAAGAAAGCTTAATCGATGACGCTATTGAACGTAATTGAAGATAATGGAGTGGACAGCAGCAGCGGTAGTGATTAATTAAGTGATATGCCGGAAAGAGATGGTTTGTGAGGAGTAGAATTGGAAGAGGATCGATGAGTTGTGAAGAAGATAAAATTATCTAATACTCTCCGCAGTGTTAATTTTCTAGTGATGTGTAGTGTAGTGAAATCGACTTTCCTGTGTTACATATCGTGGTGATATTGTATTTGGAGTGTGCTGTACGCGGCCTGCTGCCATCCCTTCCAGAAAACTTCTGGTAACTGACTTGCTCCAAGGTTCTAATTCAAAGAAGTTCAGCGGCCAAATACGCTGGAACGCAGTATAACTCGTAGACTTCTTAGTGTTTGGTTACAAGCCCTTATAAGATATAAATGTATTTGAACTGCCCTGTGCGCAGTAGTAAAGTAATAAACTATTTATCGTCTCATGTTTGCACATACAATACAAGTGTAACGCACGGGTCAGGAATGTTAACAACACGCTGCAGGAGAGACTCCGGGAGATGTGTTGAACCGATACATCGCCCAGCTGCGCGCTGTCCTTTTTAATTTCACTTACGTCAGGATTTTATTTTCTGCAGTCACGCACCGGTAACTAACTATGAGGAGCAGAGTCCTTCTTGAGAAGGACTACATATTATTCCAAACGTGAGGACCTCACGACGTTGTGAAACTGTGGATGCAGCC